TGAGTGTTTCCTATCTGGCTAGTGGGAACGTGAACTATTCCTAGCCCTGTGTGAACTGTGGTGATTGTTTTGCTTTCTTCTTTCCAATGGTTCTTTCCCCAGCCTCATACGTTTCTCATACACCTGTACGAGTCAGTACTCAGCTGAAAACTCAAGGGGACCCTTCTACAGTTCTCTAGTACTCCCTCTCTGTGCATCTTCCTCTTCTCTAGTACTTTGCATCACAAATTCGAATTACTTTGGCTTCCCCAGATGTCAAAATCTGACTCCTCAAATTGATGCAACTACTAGGCTCTGTTTGGGTTCTTTCTTGTGATGAGGCCTGGCTTACTTTAGACAATATGCTTGGGCTCACTTCATTTGTTTACCTTTTCTCAGGAAGCACACTTATACAATCCCTGTTGGTAATAGTCATTTCACATATTTTTCTCAACATGCCAGTACCTCCTCCTGATATTTTCAGGCATGTCCTTGTTTCTACACCATTGAGAATATTGAAGCAATCAAAAGTAAACTTCCTAGAGAGTCCTATCATATCTACCCTACTGCTATCATAATTTTTGGATTTTATTATAAAATTTTGGTAGAAAACATTAAAATTCCTCCTTTTAATGAGTATAGAGGGGAATCTTTCTTTAGTTAATCTTAGGTTTCTTTCATCAAATAGAACCAAAATGTATTTCCTGTTTTTTCACAATAGCTATTTGGAGGTTTCAAAGCCTAACTGTAATTTATCTCAAGTGTGTGGTAATTCTATGTCTTTTTGATTTTTAAGAATTTATACTATGCTTTTCAAAAAAATAAAAAAGTTACAGAGTTACTGTGTGCTTGAAATGAATTAAATTCTGGTTAGGCTTTGAAACCTCCAGATAGCTATTGGAAAAAGCAGGAAATACATTTTGGTTCTCCTGTTTGATTACAGAAACATAAAATTAAAGACTTACTCACTTAAGGGAGGAATGTATATTCTGTTTAGAAGCCCTGGTGGCACAAATGCTTAAGTACTCAGCTGCCAACTGAAAGTTTGGCATTAACCACCCAGCAACTATGCAGGAGAAAGACCTGATAATCTTCTTCCATAAAGATTACAGCCTAGAAAACCCTACAGGGCAGTCTGTCACATGGGGTTTGCTGTGAGTCAAAATTGACTCAGCTGCATGTATTAGCAAAACATACTGTGTTTAGTTTTATGAATTGCCAAACATGCTTTTGAAAATTGACTGAGTTGAAATTAGAAAGTGTCCTCTTGTTAAGGGAGTATTATGATTCTCTATGTCATAGTCTAGAAAAGAAAAGGCTTGTGTGTCTTTCCATAGTTCTTTAATATTTGTTATTTGCACACTCCCCAGAGGGAAGAGTAAATGAAGCAATGAGGATTATGGGAAAATAATAACAATAGAAAAATAATACGAAGCCAGGCATAAGGTTAGTATACAAAGTACACAAATATGACTCTGCATTTCTCATTAACCAACACTAAGGAAAGCAAAATTACCTACTTGATTAATTGAAGTCCGTAAGATAAAACTAGTTGTTCAGTGGAGAAGCACAGCTAATCATGATACTGAGATTTGAGTGAATATCTCCCATGTGTCCTTATAATAAAAATACTGTGCGATAGAAGTAGCTACTTGGGGCAAGTTACCTACAGACAATATAATAATGTTTAAGATCAACTGTACTTATGTATATATAAGAAATATCACTTGCTTCTACTAGAGTACAATGTTAATTAGTGGTTCTTAACCTTTTTGGAGTTACAGACCCCCTAATATTTTATGGAGTTTTGTCATAAATTTGTTAAACATGTAGATTCTCAACTCATCCCCCAAAAATTTCTGATTCAGTGGATCTGAGGTAGGTTTTACAAATATTATTTGTACTCAACATCGTAGGTGATTCTGATGTAGATTATTTCAGACCATACATATATAATTGCAGTGGATTTGTAGGGTCACTGATAGAAGTAAGTAAAGTCTTCAACAACATTTGTACAGTAAAATAATAATGAGTTTCATAGTAGTATTTGGTGCTGGTTAGTTAGAAAGTTAATGCTTTTTGCTGAAATTTACTGGCGTAACCAAGACACATGCCACATTTAACTTGAAATGGGACAGACAAGTACAATCCTAGCAGGTACTAAAAGGAAGAAAAAGCCCAAAAAACCAAACACACTGCTGTTGAGGCAATTTAAACTCATACTGACCCTATAGAACAGAGTAGAACTGCTACACAGGATTTCTAAAGCCGTAAATCTTTACGGATGCAGATAGTCACATTTTTCTCCTGTGGGGTGGCTGGTGAGTTCAAACCATTGACCTTTCAGTTAGCAGCTATAATCATTGCCCCAACAGGGCTTATTTCTGAAAAGGAGAAAAATTAGAAGTATTTGGAGAACTGTACTTAACTCTGTGGGAAAAAAGATGTGGCAGGCTGCTACAATAAAGATTTAAAGCCTTGGAAACTCTGTGGGGCAGTTCTCCTCTGTCATGTAGGGTCACTGTGAGCTGGGATTTACTCTATGGCAGTGGGTTAGTGGATGGGGTACCATTGACTAACGTGTGTGTGTGTGTGTGTGTGTGTATCTTTGGTAATGTAATGAATTGATTTTTTCCCCTAAATTTGAACCATTCCCATTGCTTAGATAAACCAAGAATTTATGAGATAACCATGATTATGAGATATCATTCTTTTGATATGCTCTTTATTTGATTTGCTAACACAGCTCTGGTGGCATAGTGCCTAAGGCATTTGACTGCTAACCAGAAGGCTGGGGGTTCAAACCCACCACCCACTCCTCAGAAGGAAGACTGGGCAGTCTACTTCTATAGAGATACCACCTCGGAAACCCAAGGAGAGGTTGTTATGAGTCGAATCGATTCAACAACAATTTTTTTTTTTTGGTAACACAGGTATGCACTGCTTTACATCTGTTTGGGCAGTGTCTGACCACATGTATCATGGTTCCATAAGTTTTTTTAATTTTTTTCCCACCTTTTAAAGGGAAAGTGACAAGCAGCTTTCCTTTTGTTTATTATTTCCCCCTTTGGCTGCTAACCAAAAGGTTGGTGATTTCTAACTCACCAGCCACTCCTCAGGAGAAAGATAAAGTAGTCTGCTTCTGAAAAAAGAATTAGCGTTAGAAACCCAATGGGGGTCGCGATTAGTTGGAATCGACTTGATGGCAGTGAGTTTGGTTAAAGACCCCTGAACCTAGACTCTTGTAGCACTGGACCACAAGTGGGACAGGCAAGTGGGACAGAGGACATGGCTCTGGGAGTGGGCTCTCAGGCTTTGGCAGGCAGGCAGGCAGCAGCAGGGGCTATAGGGCCTAGGCTGCTGTTGCTTCTCAGGCCACTAAAACAGTGAGCAGGGCTAGATGTACTCCACTCCCCCTTTGCTCACCTCTCACACAGTCCCAGTAGCTGTTGCAGGCACCCATTCCTCCACCTTCCACCAGCAGTTCAAGCAGCAGCAGTGGTGACAGCAACAGCGATGAGGACAATCAGAAAGCAAGCTCCCATAAGGGTTTAATATGGTGTTTGCGCAACCTCCAAATCACATAATGTCCTGTATCACAGAACGTGTAGTGGTCATTAAGTGACACATACCTGTATTTATTTAAGATTTTTGCATCTATGTTCTCTGGTAAGAATGGCCTAGGATTTCCATTTCTTATGCTTTTCTCACCAACTTCATATCAGGGGTTTGTTAACTTCAAAAAGGAGATAAATTTATTTCCATCTTTTTTTTTCCCTCAGTTTTCAGAACTTTTGTAGATTTTTAGTATACATTTTATGAGACATTTAGGACAGCTGCATAGTTAGAGAGCACAGCTCTACACAAAACTGTCCTCATCTCTGACACCAACTTCAAGTTCAGTGGTTCCCAAACTATGCTCAGATTTTGATAATTCTCTAGAAAGACCAATGGAACTCACTGAAACCTGTTGTACTCAAAGGATACAGTTTGAGATCAGTCAGAGGAAGAGAAACAGAGTTTCTGTTTTCCTCTCCCTGTGGAGTCAGGATGCTTTACAGTCACAGCTTCACTGTATAACAATACACATGGAATACTGCCAGCCGGGGGAGCTCACCTGAGCTTTGATATATCCAAGTTTTATTGGGACTTCATCATATAGTCATGATTGATTGATTACTCATATGGTTAACTTAGTTCTCCAGTTTGACTGACACCATGTGTCCCCATCCTAAGTCACATTGTTGATCTTTCTGACATGGCCAACACGCACTGTCAGACTGTACAGATGTAGACAGTCCCTGCCCTAAATCACATTTTTAAGACTGTCAGTATGACCTCAGTTCATCAGGCAAACAAAGAGAATTCTATTAGGCATAACATTCTAAGGGCCCAATTAGAGGGTCAGTGAAAAAGAAGAAGACCCTCAAGGAGAGGGATAGTCAACAGTGGCTGCAACAATGAGCACAAGCATAGCAGTGATTATGAGGATGGTGCAGGACTGGCAGTGTTTCATTCTGTTGTACTTAGGGTTGCTATGAGTTGGAACCAACTAGATGGTGCCTAACAACAGAGAGTACCTCCCAGAACCCCAGGGCAAAGGCCAGACCTTTCCTTTAGTCAAAGCCAGTTTTTTTACTATACACATATCTGCAATTTTTCTCCTTTACGGTGGTCTTTCTGTATTTCTTTGATACCAGATTAAGCTTGTATGCACTGCCGTGGAATCAGATCTGACTCATAGCGATCCCTCCTTGGGTTTCCGAGGTGATATCACACGGAAGTAGATTGCCCAACCTTCCTTCCAAGGAGTGGCTGATGGGTTTGAACAGCCAGCCTTCTGGTTAGCAGTCAAATGCCTTAGGCACTACGCCAGTTCTGTTATGGGAAAATGATTCTTTCAAATTTTGAACTCTGCATTTCTCTAGCTATCTATTAAAAGAAAAAAAATTATGGGACTTTTTTTTTATTATTATTTAACTGCATTTAAATTAAGCTACTATTTTTTCCTTTTTTTAAAGAATAAAGGTTCTCTTCAGTTTGAAGACAAATGGGATTTCATGCGTCCTATTGTTTTGAAGCTTTTACGTCAGGAATCTGTTACAAAACAGCAGTGGTTTGATCTGTTTTCGTAAGTAATCCATTAATTCTAACTTTCTGCTAACGTAAAGGAAATTTGGGTGATGTATTTCTATACCAAAATGGAATGTATGACTCAAGATTGGTTTATTTACCTGTTTAAAATTAGTATGTTAGGGATCCCTAAAGCCACCCCCACTTTCAGTAATTTCCTAGAAGGACTCAGAAGCCTGAGCATACAGTCATACTCATGGCTATGATTTATTTCAACAAAAGGATCAAAAAAAACAAAGGGAAAAGATGCATGGTGAGTGGGGTGAATTCTAGGGGATACCAGGCACAGGCTTCCAGAGTCTTTTCCCAGTGGAGGCACACAGGACAAACTTTATTCCCCCAGCAACAAGTTGTAGAAATATTTGTGAAATGGAAAGTTTGTTAGGGGCTCAATGCCTAGAGTTTTTTTTGAGGGGCTGGTGACTTAGGCCGTCTCTGCCTAGCAAATATCAAAATTCCAGACTCCCAGAAGGAAGGTATTCATCATAAACCGTATTGTTTATACAATCAATTTAGACACATTGAGATACTCTTATCATTTTGGGAAAGTTTTATATCAGTGTAGGGAACTATTGACTATTCCAGTTCCCAGAGGCCAGCCAAGGGTCAACCTTATAAGCGGGGCCTTTCTAAGGGTAACAGTCTTAGGTCTGCTACGTTAACTTTTTCTCTGTGCAGTCCCTTGCCTTTGGCCAGGACATTTTACATTAGAATTATTATTAGTAGGACCCCAAGCTCTGGTAGGGTAGTGCCTAAGTACTTGACTGCTAACCAGAAGGCTGGCGGTTCAAACCCACCAGCCACTCCTCGGAAGGAAGATGGGGCAATCTACTTCCGTAGTGATACTGCCTGGGAAACCCAAGGAGGGGTCGCTATGAGTCAGGGCCCACTCGATGGCACATAACAACAGCATCAGGACCCCAAGCAGCAAAGTGAGAACAGCTTGCAGTATTGATCACAGTTATGCCTTTTAAGGGTCCTAGATTTAGCCGGTTAAAACAAACACTATTAACCATTACAACCAAGATAACCAAAGGTTTATCTTAGAAAGCCACATGACTTTCTCCTTCAGTTTCTCTTTGAGGCCTTTGTACCTGGCCTGAGGCATCAATTCGGGCACAGCACAACTCCAACCAATAAGTTGAAGGTGACTTAAGAGCCTCCAGGATTGAAGCAGTGTCATGATAGAGTATACACACAAGACATATAGTCCTAGTGGGAACAGGTAATACTCTTGGCAAAAAAAAAAAAGAGTTTACAGAAAAGGGTACTCCAAGGAGGATATATATTGGTCATGTTAACAGAGCTTCCAATGGGTCTTTCTAATGTGGGTCCCCTCACCCTGTGGTTCCCAGTGCAGTCCATTTAGTTCAATTCAGTCCTTGTTTCAGAAGGACTATCTGAAGACACTGGGAAATCTGCAGAAAAAACCTCTTTAAAGTGTTAAGGAGCAAAGATGTCGCTTTGAAGACTAAGGTGTGCCTAACCCAAGCCATGATATTTTCATTTGCCTCGTATATATGTGAAAGCTAGACAATGAATAAGGAAGAGCAAAGAAGAGTTGATGCCTTTGAATTGTGGTGTTGGTGAAGAATACTGAAAACACCATGCGCTGCCAGAGAAGGAACAAATTTGTCCTAGAATAAGTGCAGCCAGAATGCTCTTCAGAAGCGAGAGTGACAAGACTTTATCTCACCTGCTTTGGTCATATTGTCAGAATCACGCTTGGTAAAGTGGAGGGTCAGCGAAGAAGGGGAAGACCCACAACAAGATGGATTGACACAGTGGCTACAACGATGGGCTCAAACATAGCAAGGATTGTGAGGATCGTGCAGGACTGGGCACTGTTTCATTCTGTTGTACGTAGGGTCACTGTGGGTTGGAACCAACTCAGTGGCACCTAACAACAACACTTGAAGGCAGTTAGTTCTAGACAGTTTTGCTTGTCCATCACAGTTCAATTGCCTCACCAGTGTCAGCAATATCTGGGGGTGTTCTGTGGTGCAGGAACTGGGCCTATCCCCTGCTATATCACTACCAGAATTATAGATTCTGCTGTTAGTTTGAATTCAGTGCCCTCACAGCAACTTGCAAAGACAATGCTGGATATTTTCCTTCAAGAAGAGAGGAAAGCTTCCAGGAACAATTCTGAAAAGCAAAGATCATTAATGCCCTTTTTCTCCTCTTTGCTTCCCCAAGGGCTTGAGTTTTGATTCTTTCTCAGTTGTTACACAATCAGTATGCCATTCAAGTAATGACATCTGTACATTTTTTTCATTCACTTTTTATTTTTATCCAGACCTGCAAGAAGAGCAAAAGTGTTTTTACAGAAGGAATTTTTATACAACTTAACCAGGAAGACATGTCATGTTTAGAAATCAATGAATCCTGAATTTTTAAAATGGTTTTACATCACCTTCCACCCTTTCATCATGATATTTATCTTGTGAGTGACCAATAAAAGATCAGTTTCTTTCTCAGGACAGCTACATGTAGTAATCAAATTGCTTTACTAAGGTGTGTGTACCATGGAAAGGCAAGGGAAGTAGTCAGCTTATCAATCCATCGTTGTAAAGTGCAACTAATTAGAAAGCTAAACACAAGTCAATAGCTGTGAAATATCCCTGAGAGAGGGTCAAGAATCTTACCTGTAAGGAGTGTGTAGAGGGATCACACTTCTTGTAATATTCTCTCTCTCAGCTTGCAGTTTTTGACATGAATCACAAGTTAGGAGTATATTAGTCTCTGTATCAGAAATAAAGAGATGACATACAGCTTGATTTCTGATGTTGCCATCAGAGAATAATCTCTTTTCTATGGGCACCTGCAAGTGACTGAAACGGTTTAGCCAAAATCTATGATGTTTGTATAGTTCATGGCCCTACAGAGGGGTGTCTTACATTTGCAGTTGTCTCCAAGTTGAAGTCTTACTCATTAAGCCTATGCCTACTTTGGGTTCTACATAGCTTTTGCTAAGATTGAAACAGCCCAATAGCAGATAGTATCAGATTTCAGCAGAGAGTCAGACCCAAGCACTTTGGATCTCTGAATTCAGGATTCCAAAAAAGCTAGTAGTTTTTCTTTGGCAATAGCAAAACCAAGATGCTGTAGGTCCAAGTCCAAGAGACAAGAAAGATTTTCCTAAGCCCTTTAATTATTACTATTTTTATTTTTTATTGTGATTTGGATGGAAGTTTATAGAGCAAATTCACTTTCCATACAGGGGTTCACATATGCTTTGTCTTATGACATTGACTACAATTTACCACAATGCACTCCCACTTCTTCCCCATAGTTACCTCTTCCCTGTGTCCTTCCCTCTATGCGCTCCTGCTCCCTGAGCTCTGTGCCTGTGCATCCACAGCCTTCTATTCTCCCATGATTGTTCTCTCCCAGGAGTATATCTACCTAGTGTTAATGTTCACCTCATATGATGCCTGCCTTTTGTTTGGCTGGAAGCCATAGGTGTGGGTTTAATTCCAGACCAGAACGGTGGCTAGAGGCCATAGTCTCAGTGGTTCCACCAGGCCTAAGCCCTTTTTATCTTGTCAGTCTTTTTTTTTTTTTTTTTTTTGCAGTGTTCCTTCCCC